GGTCCTCCCACTAGGTTCAGATACTCGAAAGCTTAGGTTTCTGCCATTATAAAGGCACGCAAGCACACATACACACACTCGCGGGTGGTTGGGGTCCTAGGACGCAGCCACGGCATTAACAGGTGCAAGCTCAGTTCTGCTTTCTGGAAAAAGGCAGTGAAAAGAGTCTCTTCTTTCACTTGCAGCCCATCCTCTTAAAAAGCTGCATTGGTTATTTGTGCATGCGTGGCTTGGGTGCTTTTGCCCCTTTTGCATATCTGTTACTGGGCAGCAGCATTTTAAGATTCCCAGTGCCGGTTGTAGGCTATGCACTTTTGCACACCAGCTGAATTAAAGGGTATGCAGTCTTAAGATAGCATAAAATTCTTCCACTTCCCTGATTAATACGTTTCACCCGCCCATCCTTTGCAAGCAATGCAATATATACTGTGCAACTTCCTAGTGCATTAAAAAACAAAAGCAAGACACTCGATCTGAGCCTTCTACAAAATTCTCGAGTCCGCAGCAAATCTACTGCATATATATGTGTGTGTATATATATACATATAAGAGAAAGCGCAAGGAAAAATTACATAACCAGTTTTAACATTTTCTTGTGCTAGGAATTAAGTCATCGCTACCACCTGACGCGTAGAACCAATCTGCTGTGAGGAGAAGGAGCACCCCCTCCCTTCTCTTCAGTACTGGTCCCAAACAGGATTGAACCGCTTCTAACAAAGGGTGGAAACTTCAGAAAAACAACCTTAGAGTCTCCTATACTTGCACACTGATGCCATTTGGAACAATAGATTAACAATGAGAAGACCAATTAACCCCTCGACGAGGTTGATCCCCGTTTTCCAAATCAATGTGGCTCTCAAATTGTAGAATTCTTCGCAATGACACAGCCCATGGGATGGACTGCAGAAGTCCCCAACTTCGAAATGATGCCCTAATTCTATAATGGATTCGCCTACATGAGGGTTCTCCACCCACCCCCAACATAGCTTTTACATATGGCTCGTTGGCAGAAGCGTTCTAAAAGAACAAGGCGGATTTCCCAACTTTTCCGAGCTTAAGGGAAAGGGAATGTGGACCTACACGTGGGGTGCTGAAAGCAAGTGTCAAAATAAACCGCAGGGAACCCTTTCTCTTGCTAACAATTCTCCATCCTGAAGGCGACATCACTTGCCAGCTCGAAACCCCGAACTGGGGGCATTAGCAAAACAATTGTTGGGGATCATTTAGGTTTCGGTAGGTTGATGCAAAATCCCCCACCCCACATTGAATTTCTTTTTAATTACGAAGTGGATAAGGTCTCTTAAAGAGCAGGCTAGAGTTGGAGAAAGTCTTATCTGGAGCCACTTTATAGATGCACCGAGATCTTGGGGGGGGGGGTCACCCTATTTGCTTCCTTACACATTCTATGGCTTTAAATAGCTATGCATCTGACGCGATGCTCCTAAACACTTACAGGAGAGCAAGTTCCACTGCATTCAGTGGGGCTTACTTCTAAGTAAGCGTGCTACGGATCAGACTGCAGTGATCAAAAGAAATTTGCCTTCCGATAGAAAAAAAACCCCCAAACAACCCGTCATTTTAGAGTAATCAGTTAAAAATTCAGACTTACCTCTTTCGTGTCCAATTAAGATATCTTTATGGTTAAAATATTCTACTTCTTCAGTGTAATTCTGTGTGTAGGCAGTGTTGGATCCAGCATTTCTAGATTCAGTCCAGCGTACTTTTGCATGTCCTCTTGCATGGATTTTAAGCGATTTGACTCTAATTTCCCCAGTCACTTCTAAATTCACCCTTCCTGAGACTGTATCCCCGCTAGAATAGACGGGGACGTTGCTGTCATTAAGACAGTCAAAGCTTATTGTCAAACTCTTCACCTTCCCCAGCACCATGTTGAGTTTTTTGTTTTTCAATATAACAAAAGTCTATAAAAATATACTGTAAGAAAAAAGGAGGGGGAAGAGAGAAAAAAGTCAAGATCTCATATAAAAATGCGATCTCCGCCTGACACACTGATCAGCTCCTCTGCCCTGCGAAAAAGGCTGCGGGCAGGATCAGCGTGTTCCCTACGAGCACTTCATCGGGGTTGCTTAAAAAGTAGGCAAGGCGAGACGCCGCGCACAGCTGCTCTCCGGCTCTGTGGTCTCCTTACAAAGACAGGCGACTGGTCTCTGCCTGCTCGCTTTAAGGAGCTTTGTGAAAAACAACCCCAGCGCGCAGGCGCGGCGCTTCTCCCCTTATACAGTAGGTGTAACAGAGGCAGAGCGGCGCGCTCGGCTGCGTGCAAGGCAGCCGCCTTCCCTTTCGCGTGCAATGAAAGCTGCCTTTGCAGCGAGAGCAGCAGTTTACGGCCGTAAGAAAAGGAATGCATTGCTTTCCTAGGCTGTGGAAGCAAGAAATGGTTAGAGGAGAAGGGGGCTTACCGGTTAGAGCTCCTCCAAACAGCCGAGCCCCCCTTAGAAACCTCATAGCGTTTCATGCTAGGTAGTGATGGGGCAGCTGTCTTGCAATGGCTCTGCTGGGCAACCTGCATTACAAAGAAGCGAAATTATTGTTTTAAAAAAATACCACGGCATACCAGGAATAACACTACATGGGAGCAGTGACGGAATTAGCATCTTTTCAGAAGGAGGCAGAAATCTCAGTAGTTGGGGAGGTTGGTTTGCTTTGCATTTAGTTCTAGATTTTTTGAAAAAGAAGATACGCTTGGAAATATATGCTAAGGGCCTGGACATCTAAAACCCACTTGCAAATATTAGCAGGTTTCCTATATGAAGGCAGCATTCTTAAAAGCCCCGAGGTGGTTTTCTTATTGAGACCTATGCTATTAAAGCCCAATAGTCTGTGCTTTGCATTGCTGCTGTTAGAATTTATCTGCCTTGTGCCATCTTTTTTTAAAAAATGCTGTATTGGCTATAGGTTAATTGATTTGATACAATTTTATTAATTTGTTTGACAAAGATATGCTGCATGAGAAACAAGGGTGGATTCACTTTGGTTGGTTTATGTTAAATGCATCTCCTCAGAAACAAGCCCTCTTGAGTTAAATGAGATTTAATTCCTGGTAAGTGTGTACAGGATCACAGCCTTCAAACCATTAATGGGATAATAGAGCACTGCTTTCACGAACAATCCTACTTGTCATTGGCCTCTTCAGGTATTTTGCAAGCAAAGCTTTTAGTCAAAAGGTACATGGTTTTTGGTGTAATCACAATATATTAGCTGTTCAAAAGTTCTGGCATTTTGTTCTCAAATTATTTGCTTCTCATTGTACTTCTAAGGGCCAGATGAACTCATCATTTCCTGAGTTTATAAATATAGTTCACATATTTTATTTTGAGCATATGCTTTTCTGCTGAAACTTCTTGTCTCAGAATTGCAGCTCAGCTTGCAGCATGGCTTTGAGCTGAACTCAGCATTTCACGAGGAAGTTACTCACAAGTAACCAAGTACTTTAGAGCTGCAGTTCTAAGCATACATGCCAGGAAGCAAGTTTCACTGAACTCTCGGTAGTGCTCATTGCTGAGTAAAAATGCTTATGAATAGACTGCAAAAGTTTAGGACTTCAGTTACAGAGAAGTACCGGTATTTGGTCAAAAAGTCATTCCTGTTTTCGCTTGGTTGACACCTGGTGGAATTCCAGTGCTCCAATGATTCTGTTTGTGTTTCTGTGCCACCTTGTGGTGAACGTGGTGAATGAACTGCAAGCTATAGACACATTTCATTGGAATGGGTAGACCTTGTGTGCCTGTAAAGGTAAAGGTACCCCTGCCGGTACGGGCCAGTCTTGACAGACTCTAGGGTTGTGCGCTCATCTCACTCTAGAGGCTGGGAGCCAGCGTTCTCCAAAGACACTTCCGGGTCACGTGGCCAGCGTCACCGTGTACCTTCCCGCTAGTAAGCGGTCCCTATTTATCTACTTGCACCCGGGGGTGCTTTCGAACTGCTAGGTTGGCAGGCGCTGGGACCGAGCAGAGGGAGCGCACCCCGCCGCGGGGATTCGAACTGCCGACCATGTGATCGGCAAGTCCAAGTCGCTGAGGTTTTACCCACAGTGCCACCTGCGTCCCTTGTGTGCCTGTAGCATGTGCCAAATTTTATGTGCCCAGAAAAGTATACATACGGGTTTTTTAAATGGATGTCCTATAAAGTTTGTTTTGATTTTGTACATGCATATATTTAATACTATTTCACCATATAATACTTCTCAGTGCTTCAGACCTTTTCTCTACTTTAATAGGTTTTCAGCTGTGTTGCCTCCTTTTCTTTTTCTTTTTCATGTTTCCAAATAATACAGATGGATTTTAATATTGTATTGAATTACTATGTCTATACCCAGAGCCCTTTGCTTTCAGGATCCTATTGGAACCAGGCAGAGGGCCTTCTCGGTAGTGGTGCCCTCCCTGTGGAATGCCCTCCCTTCAGATGTCAAGGAGATAAGGAATTACACAACTTTTAGAAGAGAAATGAAGGCAGCCCAGTATTGGGAGGTTTTTAATGCTTGATTTTTTAAAAAAATGTTTTTAGATATCCTGTAAGCCGCCCACAGTGGCTGGGGAAACCTAGCCAGATCGGTAGGGTATAAATAATAAAATAATAGTTGTGGTTGTGGTTGTGGTTGTTGTTGGAAATTCCATTGCTGAATAATAATGCTGGGAAAGAGTATTATGCAGCCAGGGAGCACTAACTGGATGACTTTGATCTGCTATGGCTTCTCTGGAAAGGAAACAAACTACAGTCCTGTGTTATCTACTTAGAAGCAAGCCCCATTTAATTAAATGGGAGTTAACGCTCAGGTAAGTGTGCATATGTTGCAGCCTTCGTCCTGAAATAAACAATTCTGATAGCTAGACAGAGGCTGGGTGTGGAGCCTAAAACTAATTCAGAGGCAGAGACAGGCAGGACAAAAGCAGTAACCTACCCTGTGAAGTGAAAATAAAATGAAGGAAAGCAAAACAAAATTGGAGCAGCGGGGCGTGGGGGGGTGGGAGGAATATCAACAGAAGCACCCCTATTTTCTGGTCGCTTTGCAGTCTTAAAAACTTAGTATTTCTAATGCAATTTCAATGGAAAGAAGGTGGCAGTTGGAAACAGGCAGTTGACAGTTGGGAGTTACTGGTAGTTGCTTGGTTATTCAGTTAGTTCCACCTTGACTATGAAGGTGAGAGGGTGTGGGGACTTCATGCAAATGCTGTCTGGAGCAGTTTGTAAATAATACTACTTGTTCAAATGTTGCCAGCCCAACAAGTAAGATTTATTTTCAACTATTTGTGTAAGGCATACATTTTTTTAAAAAAATCACAAATAGCTAAGAGAAACAAGCCTTGTTTACCGTTATATGTTGGTGATGTGAGCATTACAGGGAATATTCATTTGATATTTCTTGCTATATTACAGGCTGCCTATATTATCATCATAGTCCTTATATTAATGTATATTCTGCCTTTTTCCCAGCCCAGAACTCAAGGTGGCTAACAGATAAGAATACAAAAACACAGATAAAACAGAAAAGAGAATCATTAAAAAGTATCTAGACGCTAACAGAATTAAAATGATATAAAATGATCAATTAAAAACCAAGATAGTAACAAGAAAAACATCACAACGCCAGCCCTTTCATTAAAAACAGTCAGTTCCTAAAGGCCTGTTGGAATGAAATGGCCCTCACCTGGATATGATTCAGCCTACAAAACTGTATTTTAAATAGTACTGTACATCTGTACAAAACATTTTTATTTTTTTTTGCTATTTGTGTTAGCTACAAATGTAATCCAAGGTGCATGTGAAAACATCCCATCTCTGCTCTTGAGCTTCAGATCATTGCCCCAGTTCACCTTCCTCAAGTTGGTGAGGTTTTGCTTAACAATCTTGAATCATTTCTCTGCCTATTTCTTTCTGCTCTTTACAGCAAAATCAACAGATAGTGAATGATGTCAGCTGGTCTTAGCTGGTGGTGCCTGTATGTTTGCTATGATTCAATTAAATACGAGTTGCTAAGCCTTTAAAAGTTAAGTAGAAATGGAAACTTCAGAAGGTGTGGGTTCTGCCCCTGCTGTAACTAGGTTAGAGAGGAGTGGTTAAGAGATCAAGCTGTGAGCCAGGAAGTGCCTAGGTAAAGGTAAAGGTACCCCTGCCCATACGGGCCAGTCTTGACAGACTCTAGGGTTGTGCACCCATCTCACTCTATAGGCCGGGGGTCAGCGCTGTCCGCAGACACTTCCGGGTCACGTGGCCAGCGTGACAAGCTGCATCTGGCGAGCCAGCGCAGCACACGGAACTCCGTTTACCTTCCCGTTAGTAAGCGGTCCCTATTTATCTACTTGCACCCAGGGGTGCTTTCGAACTGCTAGGTTGGCAGGCGCTGGGACCGGCAGCGGGAGCGCACCCCGCCGCGGGGATTCGAACCGCCGACCATGCGATCGGCAGTCCTAGGCGCTGAGGCTTTAACCACAGCGCCACCAGGAAGTGCCTACTGTAACTCAAATTTCACCTATGCTACAAACTCTCTGAGGTTGCCTTGGGTAACCACATTCTTCGAGTCTCAGCTGCCCCAATCTGTTCTGAACATGGGCAACAGCAAACTTAAAATTTCTATATTTAGTCATCCAAACATCTTTTTCAATCTTTCTGACCATATTATAGGTTAAATATTACTTAAAATTTATCATTAACAAGTTCTGGCAGCTGTTTGGGTCACCTTGGTCGTACGAATGTGACTTCATAGAAAATACAGCATTACCCAATAAATTGTTCATTTGAACTTTTTTGTGTAGAAGGGGAATGAAAAAGCACCATTTGTTGCACAGCTGCCTTCTTACATTGTAATAGTGTATTTATGTGCTTCTTATAAATTGTCTTTCAGGGGGGATTAAAAAACATTTCTATTTACCCAGGCATTTGATGGCTGACAACCCTGAAATCACTAACTGAGATAATGTTTTTAACCGTTCTTTGAATGCTAAGAACATAAAAAGAGGCTGATGGATCAGGCCAATGGCCCATCTAGTCCAACATCCTGTTTTCACAGTGGCCAGTCAGATGCCCATGGAAACTTTTAAGCAGGACCTGAGGAGCAGAAGAGCACTCCACCTTACTGCAGTGTCCAGTGTCTGTTATTCAGAAGCATACTACTTCTACTCTGTCTAATCCTCTTTTAAAACCATCCTGGTTGGTGGCCATCCCTGCTTCCTATGCGTTTAACTATGTACTGCATGAATAAGTATTTTTTAAAAATCTGTCCCGAATCTTTCAGCAGCTTCATTGGGTGTCAATACACGTTATGAACTTCCAGGCCTTTTCCCCCCAGCCGAAACTCAGCTCTCAGATGAGCAGCACAGGGCTGAGCTTGCTGCCTCAACTCAAAACGGGTGTGGAGCAGAGAAAGACTCTGTGCACCATTTTGAGCAAGCGCCAGGGCACGTAAGCATTTTTAAAGCTTCTATTCCTTTCTTCCTTAACTGTTGGGCACTCATGAGAGAGGCAAAGGGCGTTTCCCAGGAGTATAGCTTCTCTGGGAGCCGAACTCGCACCAGAGAAACTGGGAACCGTGCTATTGAGCTCTGTGGCCTCAGCCTCCCAAACTTTACTTGAAGAAACTGAAATGACACCAAACTGAAGTGACACATCTTTGTGGAAAGTCCAAAGTTCTCAGGGGGGCAGTTCCTGCACTTTTTTTCCCTACCTCACCCTATTGCCACTGCACTCTGGGCATAAGCTTTTCTGTCTATAGGACCCCTGCCTTCAGCGACTTCAGTTTAGTCCCCACTCAATTGCATCTGCCACCCCAGCCTTAAATCCCCCCCCCCACTCCTGGGCACTTTCACCCTTCCTACGTAAACCTGCTCGCTGGGATTAAGCCTCACCTGCCACCTTTCAAGCTGTCTTGCCTTCAGACAGAACAGTGCTCTATAGAGACCCCACCGTTGTCTAAACCGATTGACAGGGCCTCAAATCCCTTTCACACAGCCCTCCCTGAACATGCTGGCCTGGGGGATTTTCCTCGCCCTAGTTGCATTCTCTACCCCTTCATCTACAGACCTTCCTATGGAGCCTTCATTTGCAAAAGAGAAGGAGAACTCCATTTTATGGCTGAATATAGTCGTATTCAGCTTAAGGGCCAGGGTAGCAGGAGGCAGAAGCATGCACCGCCCCAGCCCCTGCCCCCTGCCTTCCCCCACTCACCCCCACACCTATCATCTCTCTGTCCCTTTCTTCCCTGCACACAGATGTGTACACGCACGCGCACACACACACACACACACACACACACACACACACAAATATACTGCCTGGAGATCATATCTGCAGACAGGTCCTATAGATACTTACTCAGGGCCCAGCGTCTCTACCTGGGCAGTTCAGGCAAGCAGAGTGAGGTGGGGATGCACCCTGGAGAGGTGAGGTCACAAAGCTTTGCCCACTGACATCAGGGGTCAGCCTGCCTGGCCTTAGAGACACTGAAGTCATAAAGCCTGTCCCACCGACTACCCCCTATCTGCCTGGATACCACAGCTAGCTCAGGAAGGAAACAAGCCTGGTCTCATAGACGGTCACTCAGGGAGCTCACAATGCCTTACCCACTGAAATCATGGTCAGCTCAGGGAGAAGCCTTTCCAGTCTTGTGCAGATTTGCAAAGCCCTGCACAACTTGGGCCCAAAACATGATTCTGTATGATCTCAGAAAATTGATTCTGCATTACTGCACAGTGTGTCCATTTGTAAACATATGTAGGTAGGTGGTTCCAGCAACAGGGAGTGAATCCATTCCACACCAGTTCAATTATTTCGTTGGTGGGTGTATATCAAGATCACACTCACCTTCTTTGTTGACCTGGGACATACAGAGGGAAAGGCGTGGATAACCAGTTCAAGGGAAGTGTTTTCAAAGTAACTACACACACCCTAGTGGACAGCAGGAGTCAATCTAGATTGAAAACAGCATGTTGAGGATAAGCATGAAGGTTCCAGATGGAGAAAAACCACACCTTTGTGCTACAAATAATTTTGTATATACGCAGCCTATGTTGTTTGGGAACCCTAAGTTCCTCTTTATAGATGTGACCAAAGTAACACAGTGTACAGCAACACAGAAGTACCTCCAACATTGCTTCTCATAAGATGAATGAGCCATAGATTCTCCCTCTTTCAAGAAGTCCAAGGATTGCAGACTGAGATTAGTCTCGCTTACTACATCTTACATAACATATGGAGACACGAAGATCTAGTTTGTACAACACGGCAAGCCTTGGGAAGAGAAAAGCAACTTGTTCTTGGCTACAGCTCATGGTTACTGAAGAGAGAGCTTAACCACAAATCCCAGTTTGGAAAACATGCTAAGTCAAATCTTCAGTTAGCTCAGTGCATCACAAGGACAAAATAATAATAATAAAAATAAAAATAGGCTGGAGAGGAGCAAAGCAGCCACAACGTCCTCCCCAGAAACACGCACATTTGCAGGTTATCTGTAGTTTGGTTTACCGTGCCATGTGAACCAAGCCTATATTTTCTTTAAAAATTCCTTTTTATAGCCCCGTGACCTTAAGAGTTGATTTCTGTCATGCGCAGTGCAAAAAACGTTGCACTGTGGGTTAAACCACAGAGCCTAGGACTTGCCGATCAGAAGGTCGGCGGTTCGAATCCCCGCGACGGGGTGAGCTCCCATTGCTCAGTCCCAGCTCCTGCCAATCTAGCAGTTCGATAGCACGTCAAAGTGCAAGTAGATAAATAGGTACCGCTCCGGCGGGAAGGTAAACGGCGTTTCTGTGCACTGCTCTGGTTCGCCAGAAGCGGCTTAGTCATGCTGGCCACATGACCCGGAATGAGTGCCGCAATGCCAGAGTCGGTCACGACTGGACCTAATGGTCAGGGGTCCCTTTACCTTTACATTTTAAACCCAACCTGAAAGTGCTAAACCCAAAACTAGACCAGAGTTCTGCTACATGGCATTTTTATGCAGGAGCTGCTCAAATGGCAGACTTGGACCTTTTAGTACTCTATTGGAGCAGTTTCTCATGAAGTGCTTTTCATGGGCAAAAATACATGCAATAGATCTGGATTGTGTGTGGACTACATAGAAAAAACAAGTTTTCCTTTTCTATTGATTCCAGAATAAAGTGTCGTTTGTATGCTACACCCTCCACAGTGATAGGTGTGACAGCATAGAATACACACACACACACACACACACACACACAGTACTGGACTATTGTATTTTTAAAATGTTGAATTGTGGAAGAAACAAGTACAAGATGCCCACACTCACTGTGACCTCCCGCATAACTCTGCACACTTGTTTTCTTTTCCACTGCTCTCCTTAGCATAAGATGGGAAAGTGCATTGGGAACTCTTATGCTAATAAAGATAATGGAAAATGTTGGCTTTGTTTTCAGTCACCTTCCTTCTATAGATTCAGCAGTCTCCCTACTTTACATAAGCAGTTTGGCACTGCCACTTAAAGTGCAAATTCTTATTTATTTATTTATTTATTTATTTATTCTGTTTTACAATTTAGAATATTCATTTATACAACCTTAAAATATCAATGACTTCCCTTTTTCTCTTTCCATGGTTCATTTTGCATAGCATAAATCCCTGCATATTTTATAGAAACTAAACCATTCAGTATTACATTATTACTTCCATCAAAACTTATTTACACTGTTGAATTTATCTTAATTCTGCCAACGTTTTCAAGTATATACAATTTCTTCCCATATATTCATTAAACATTTCCCAATCTTCTTTAAACAAATCTTCTTCTTCTCTTATTCTGTAAGTTAGACCTGCAAGCTGCACATATTCTATCAGTTTAAGTTGCCATTCTTCTTTGGTTGGGACCTCTCCGTTTTCCATTTTTGGGCAAACAAAACACAGGCTGCCGTAGTAGCATATATACATAACCTTTTTTGACACCTGGGAATTTCCATCTGAATTATCTCCAACAAAAAGGACACTAGTTTTTTGGGAGGGTTGGGGGTTGGAAAAGTGCTTTAAAACATTTTTAAATTCATGTTTATATTTGTTAATTATAAATTATTAAAAGTGCAAATTCTATTGATATCTACTCAGAAACAAGTCCTGTTGTTTCCAGTGGGGCTTTCTCCCAGTTAAGTGTGTACAGGGCTTCAGCCTGAAGTTATTTATTTTTCTGAGATGGCTTCCTTACTCAACATAATTCTGTGCTGTGGTTCATGGGGGTAGTGTTTGTTGATGGATGACTGGCTCATGATAGCCACCTCTTCCCTTCCCAAAGCGCCAAGAACTGATTCTCAGCTGGACTGAAGCATTTTAAATATGGAACAGTCAAAAGTTGGGCAGGGTTAAAACACAGCTGATGGTGGCTGACCTGTTTACTGTAGGAGGACTCATTGCCAGGATTTATCATGATTTAAATGGCTCTGTCAGAATATTCTCCAGTTCTGATGTTAAATGTTAAAGCTTTTCTGTGGGAAATGTATACTGAGGGAGAAAACAGAAAAGATCCATATCTATCTTTTGTGACTGACCAACTGTTGCCACCATAAAAGTCATTCTGAACCATTTTAATTGCTTTCCCCCTGTCTCATTAAACAATTGTAGTGTTGCCTCGCCACCTTGTGGCAAACTCAGAAAACGAATATTTCTCGTTCAACTAACACCACTTAAGATTTCATTGTACAGTGTGCTGGAATAATCAGAGTGGAATAAAATATATTTTTAAAACTTGCAATTTGTGCAGGTTTTTTCTGCATAAAAAGATCATTTGCTGGTTTCTAAATAGAATAGATAAAGGGATTTCGTGTGTGTGTGTGTGTGTGTGCGCGCGCGCACGTGCCATTTATTACTTGTGCATACTGCCACCTGCTGTTACACTGAAAACAAATTGTTACATTTAGGTTTTATGAATTTGCCTAACCTGCTGTCCTCCATATGTTACTAGACTCAAACGCCCATCAGTCCCAGGGATGCTGGGAGTTGTAGTCCACCAACCTCTGGAGGGCAATGGTCTGTTCAGTGCTGGTCTCCTCAACTTAAGCCTGGAAAGTAGATCTCCAGATTTAAAGACATTTTACTGTACTTGGAAGGAAGCTTCAAGTCACTGGATCTTGCTTCCAAGAGGACATTGGATCAAATTACACAATTCCAATTTTACAAATGGGGAACATGAAACTATGCTGCAGCAACTTGCCAAATGCTATTTTAGTCATTTGAATCCTACCTTTAAAAGTGCCTCTTCTCAGACCGACTCGTTTATGACACATGTATGCTGGCCTTAGGGACACGGGTGGCGCTGTGGGTTAAACCACAGAGCCTAGGACTTGCTGATCAGAAGGTTGGCGGTTCGAATCCCCGCAATGGGGTGAGCTCCCGTTGCTCGGTCCTGCTCCTGCCAACCTAGCAGTTCGAAAACACATCAAAGTGCTAGTAGATAAATAGGTATTGCTCCGGCGGGAAGGTAAACGGCGTTTCCGTGCGCTGCTCTGGTTCGCCAGAAGCGGCCTAGTCATGCTGGCCACATGACCTGGAAGCTGTACGCCGGCTCCCTTGGCCAATAAAGCGAGATGAGCGCCACAACCCCAGAGTCGGTCACGACTGGACCTAGTGGTCAGGGGTCCCTTTACCTTTACCTTTATGCTGGCCTTAGCTTTTGGGACTCGTCTGCCAGCTGTACTAGACAGGGATCTAGCTGGGAGAAGGGGACGTTGTTCTGCTATCTCCTTTTCCCTGCTGTGTAATCCTAGGGAGCCATTGCAAGGTGAAGATGATGTCTTAGACTCCACAAACGCCTTGCTTCTCATGTTCACCTTTTCCTTGGGGAAGGAAAAACAAAGAGACTAGGTGAAGCCAGACAGTTCTCAGACCAAGTCTACTTGCAGTGGTAACAGCAATATTTCCCTATAGCCCAGAACAAGGTAGCTAGCACCCTTGTTAATGAAATTAAATAAACACTACTTTCTGGAACCCAGGGTGCAACTGGCTGAATACAAAATTGATTTTTGTGTCTTGCAGGTCAAGATAACAAGAGAAAATCCCCTTATTGTGCCAAGTAGCGCGCAGCTTTGAAGAGTAGCAGAGAAGCCATATAAGGTTTGCATTGTGACATCATCTCATCAGTATAACTGCCTACCTAGCTTTATGACATCAACCTATCTCTGAGAGCCAGTTATTTAGAGAAAAATCTACTGTCATATTCAGCTGAAAACTGCCTCCCCTGGAATGCTGTCTCCTACTAATGCCACTTTCAGGGGCAATAAGCTACCGCAATAACTGAAATATCGCCTCTCTGCATATACCAAGGCCCTGAGATCATCTTGTGGTATCAGACGGATGGTGTCATGAACTGGTAGGACAATGGGAAGGAGGAAGTAGATCCTGGTGTGGGGTGTAGCTGGGACTGGGACACACTGGAGCAAGCTGGGGGTGGTGAAGGAGAGGTTGGTGTAGGAAGTACTCATGGGGTGATAGAGGATGGCAGGGGGATGGGGGTCAGTGCGCAGGAACCAGAGCAGTAGGGCCCATCAACAGAGTCAGAGAGGCTCCTGTCTCCACAAACATGGCAGACTGAGGTATAGGGAGCAATGGAAGGTATTCTCAAGGAGAATGAGACTGGCAAGGGGTCACAGCCCAGCTCCTTAGCTGTCCAGGTGGGGCTCACTAACTCTGGGAGGAGGTGTGTGATTCCTTAGCTGGAGTAGGCTCAACAGGTGAGGGCCACATGCCTCATCAAGCCCAGGTGCTGCAATCAGCATGCAAGGTATAAAACAGCAGCAGAGCTTGAGGTGCTGTTTCTGCTCAACTGCCCATGTTGATGGACCTCAGCTTGGAAGCACCAGGATCTCTACGGGACTGTGCTTTGATTCGGACTTTGGGCACGTGGATTGACCCTGCACCGGGAGCTTGACATACTGATTTGCTGCCAGGTAAGCCAGGGGTTCAAGACAGGTGGTAACACATGAGTGGGTCTTTTCTGCAATGGCCTCCCATTTGTAGAATGGTCTCCCTCGGGAGGTTCAGCGGGTGCTTTCATTATCTTCTTCTTTTTTGGTGATCACTCGTAGCCAAGTAAGATTGTCTTCCATAAACAAGGATACTACACTTGATCTTAGCCCAAAGGCTGAGAAGCGATGTTGTACGTTGTTTCTAAATTTATTGTTGTACATTGTTTTGTCTGTTTTAACCATATTTGCACAGCAGTTTCTAATGTTGTGAGTGTCCTCTATTTCAGAGGCTTCTACTCTGCAGCCTCTTATAGTTGTTTTAACTGCAAGTCTTTTAGTTCTTATGCTCTTAGAGTTGTTTTAACTGTGTGTCTTTCTTTGTTTTTAGTTCTTATCTGTTTTAATTATCAGTTTTTATCCATCCATTATCCATGTTTAATCTTGTATTTTATTCAGATGTTTTATCCTATGTCTGTTTCTTTGTCCTCATTTGCTCTAACAATTATCGGTTTAAAAAAAATCCTAACTGCTACTTTATTTATATGCTTTTTTAAATCCTGGTCTGTGACCGTAATAAAGTTCATTCATTCATTCATTCATTCATTCATTCATTCATTCATAAACACGGTTTTTCCAGGTGACAGTTGATCATGGTGAGGGTTTATCAAGTGTGCCTTCCTCTTAGCACATTTCTCCCTTTCGTCCAGAGTTCAAGTGTCTTCAAAACCCGTGAAACCTTTGGTAAAGGCTGTTCTCCAATTGGAGCGCTCACAGGCCAGTGTTTCTCTTTAAGCGCCAGGCAACAACCTTCCTCTTCAACCAGGCCTTTCAAAATGTGTTGTGGTTGGGGGGATTATTGGGTTTTCTTTGTTTGTATTATGTATCATGTGTTTTTGTATTGTGATTTTGTGCTGTGATCCGCCGTGAGATCTACTGGTATAGGGTGGTATATGAAACTACTACTACTACTACCTAGGGGGAGATTTTAAGCAGAAAAATGACAGGAAGAGTGCTTTCCAGATCAAGGTCTCACAGCTTCTTTCTTCTAAAAGTTGTATAGTTACTTATCTTTTTGGCTCCTTATCTCCTTGGCTCACGTAACTCCATATCCAACATTTCTCAGATGTGTTACGGAAAAATCTAGGTGCAAGGCTGCTCAGTCACCCAGCTAGTTTGGCAGAGCCCGCGGGTCCCTGTGGAATAAAGGAAGGAGTCCAGCCACAAACCAGAGCAAATAGCTGTAGACCAAAGTTTAGTGCACAACAGGTTCAAAGAGGAATTTTGAACCCCGAGGATGGGGTGACAAGGACTTTTAAAACTTTCCCACCATATCCCAGAATACAGTTCGTACAGCATCACTGCTACATCATTGATATGTCACAAAAGGGGAGGGGTAGACAAGGGTTACACAAGTTAAACCTTGGCAAACATGTCCAGACAAGTCCTTGGTACAGGATTAGCATAAGCAGACATGCCAGGGCAAGACCCAGGTATAAGATTAGCATAGTCAAACCCCTCTGAAGTCCCACCACCCAAAGTACAATAGAACTTCCTTTGCATGTCTGGACCCCTTGGCAAGTCTGGTGATGGGATTAGGCTTTCCTTGGCCAACAGTCAGCTCAGCAGTTGTCACCTCTGGGCACTTCCTGGAGTCCCTTTTCCAAGGCAAAATAGCGTTGGAATGGAGGAAACTGGCAAAGGAGTTGATTTTACAGTATATGATTTTTAAAGCTAGGTAACTTCCCTGAACTTTCAAGTAGAAAGGATGCATTTATGCATAATATTTGTAACATTTAACAACTTTAAAGATGTGCCCCCCCAGTAATTTCTGTAACAGATGAAAATAGAGATATTCTAAGGAAAAGTAGGGCATTCTAGGATCATATCAGAAACCGAGATGGCTTTTGTAAATCCAAGACTGTTCATGGGAAATAGGGACACTTGGTGGGTCTGGTGTACTCTGTTCTTCTTGATTTCCAGCTCTGATCTGTAGAAAAGAGGACAATTTGAGGAATCAGAATACCTTGTTAACAGCCCCATTCCTCCTGCTACTGTATGTTTGGGCAATATTGTTTTATACTTTACTGCATTTTTGTAGAATCACAGCAGCTGTGGGGAATATCAATATTCCTCAATGGAGGCAGACAGTGTAGGAGATTTTTTTTGCTCTGTGATTGCACTTCTCAGTGTCTTATGACATAATGTAGCCATGAGATTACATTAGCCACAAACTTTGCAGTACTCTCTCAATTTAATTTAATTGACAATGGACAAAAATAAAATTCAAATGATCCCTTGATCCCTCAGACTCCAGGAAAACAAGTAATTTGTAAGCAATACTGCATTTGGAAATATCTGGGTGTTGTGATTGTATACATCCCCACCCACATCAACCATGTGGGGTCTTAACACCAGCATTCCACCCAATACTCTCTCACTCTGGCTGATGTGAACTGCTCAAGGTCTCACGCGGATGTTATTGCAGACTTCTGGCCTCTGAAATTTTGGATGTTCTCTGCTATTAAGTTAGAGCTCATCATGAGATGGTAGTGATGCATGGTTGATGGCTGTTAGCAATATTGTCCGGATACAACCATCTAGTGAGTTTTAGAGGCTTCCGCATGGGACGTTTCCATTTCCTTAATTCTTGCTACAAGGACTCATCAAATGAGGCTTCCCTTTGCGACATTTGCCCTTTCCAGAGACTCCTTTTCTGTGGTGGTGCAGATCTCATTGCATTCATATTGGTGGGGGAGAGATCAACCACAGTATTTAGTTCATCCCCTATCACCCCCCACTCTCTGCAAAGCAATTAGTTCCTTTTTGAACCTATACACTTAAAAAAAGAAGTTCATTCTTCGTTTTAAATACTGTACTTTCATTTGGAAAATGCAGTATTAACTAGTATTGAGTGCCACCTGGTGGTTGAAGTCAGGTAAGACATTAAGCAAACCAGTTTCTAAGAAGCACTGTTTGCCTAACACTAGAACGGAATAAGCACATCAATGAATGCAACAGAAATAAGCACATTTCTCCTCAGTCTGTTGCGTCTAATCCTGCAAAATGATGTATTCTGCCCAGTATTTAACACTTCAGTTTGAATCAAAGAGCTAAATACAAGGTATAATATTCCTTCTCCCCACACCCTTAGTGTCGTGAAAAACAAAATCAGCATAATATAGACTGACAAAAGTGATCTGGCAAACTTGACAGCTGGGCCTGAGAGGCTGTCAAGTGAGAGTGAGGGATAGACTCCTTAATAGAATCTAAGGGTGGTGTTGGGCTCACTGACATTTCGGACTTGTTAGCTGGGAGAGAAGGCAGTCAGCCCAAGAAACAGAAGTTAGATGATTTCCTCTAAGCCTTTTCTTGAAACATGCATCATTCTCATGGCCCTTAAATGACTACTGGAGTAGGAATAAGGTAGCTAGAAATTATAATTAGTTTATCTCTCTTGGTTTTGAGTGTAGGTACACTAGATCCTTATTTTTCATCAATACAGTGGTGCCCCGCAAGACGAATGCCTCGCAAGACAGAAAACCCGCTAGACGAAAGGGTTTTCCGTTTTGGAGGTGCTTCGCAAAACGAATTTCCTATGGGCTTGCTTCGCAAGACGAAAATGTCTTGCGAGTTCCTGCAGGGTTTTTTTTCATTCCTCCCCCTTTTTCCCAAGCCGCTAAGCCGCTTATCAGCTGATCCGCTAAGCCCGTTAAGCCGCTAATCCGCTAATGGGCTTGCTTCGCAAGACGAAAAAACCGCAAGACGAAGAGACTCGCGGAACGGATTCTTTTCGTCTTGCGAGGCACCACTGTACAGTGGTACCTCAGGTTAAGTACTTAATTTGTTCCAGAGGTCCATTCTTAACCTGAAACTGTTCTTAACCTGAAGCACCACTTTAACTAATGGAGTCTCCTGCTGCTGCGCCGCCGGAACATGATTTCTGTTCTCATCCTGAAGCAAAGTTCTTAACCCGAGGTACTATTTCTGGGTTAGCGGAGTCTGTAACCTGAAGCGTATGTAATCTGAGGTACCACTGTATACTGAGGGATGCTCCATTTGGGGAGTTAAGTGAAACCATAGTTTGCCTCCTGCTTGGAGAAAGCTTTCCCTGCCATCCTCCTCTGTGACATCTTACCCTTGACACACCCT